TTGGGCACGCTAGTCCAAAAATTGCTATTACAGTTCTATTTCTCGTGTGTTTTTGTTCTACTTTACTTTGTTATAATACTACTGATATTCATTACTGCATTGTTGGGAAAGAGCAAGCAATAAAGGAATTTCACTGTAGCCTACTTGTGCACATGATAATAAAAACTTGAAACTTGATACATAGGCCTTCTTCAATGAAGATCAACTGTTAAATTCGACTGAATACCAGTATTATAAACCACACTACCTATGATATTGCAAAACTTGAAATACATATAGCCAATCTATTTACTAGGCTACTATGTCCAATTAAATGAGAGATGTGTATGGTCATTTGTTGTATGGCTCCTTCAGGAATATGAACCCATCACAGCCAGAAAAGGTGAGGAATACATTATGCAATGGTTATGAAAATAAAATAAATAGGAAAGATTCCTATGTATAATTATTTTAGCTCAGGCTCTGAGCTGGCAAATGGTTGCATTCTTGTTAATATGTTTTCCTGTTTTTTACTTTTTTATGAAAAAGCTTTTCATCATATCCCCCATTTGCACAAAATACTTACTTGCCAGTTTGCAGTAGCCTACAATATTTCAACCACTAGCAGATGTGCATATGCATGGTCTAAAGTTTGCAGGGAGGTGAGCACATTCTCATGTCTAAGAACAGCCCTTAGCTGTGGTATAGTGGCCATATACCACACCTCCTCGGGCCTTATTGATTAAATATCCATGATGAGTCCTCTATCTATCTCTATGACAATATATGGGCATTATGATCATATTGATGATTACTTGGGTGCTGCCAGCTGTCGGCATGTGGGCAGGATTAAAATAAACCCAACCCATGGAAACGGTTACGGTACCCTTCATTCCGTGACATACCATTTTTTCCTATCATCTCATAAATCTCAGTTTTGGACGAGACTGACTATATTACCAAAATGATCCTATTTACACTTTGTAGTCAATGTTGACACTATAATAAATGTCTGACTCATATCGATGCCACAAGCCATTTTCAAAACGAGACGTTGCTTTTTAGGGGCAGTCGCTCTTTAAAACTACACATTCAAATGAGGTTGGGTTTTCTATTGAAATAGGCTTTACTTTCAATTCTGAGTGACAGATATTTGCCAACCCACCTCCTCTGTGGCCAGTGTTGCGTGGCTGAGCATTGTGCTGAAAGCCAAGGGGTGCGGCCTGGTTAAGTAGCATGTAATCATTTGGCTGTTGCCAAGTTCCTGTCAAGCATAGCAAATCAATATTTCTATTTACAGTGAAATCAGCTAAACAGGGAGCTTTGTCACAGAGATCTTGTGTTATAAAGTGCTATATTAGCAGAGGGGATAGTCCGTATTAACGCAGGAAAAGGGTAATCTGCAGTTATTGGTACTCTGGGTCAAATAGATAGCTGTGTGAAGTTGGGATGGCGCCATCTTTGACGTCTTCAGTGTAGAATTTGTCATTGTCAAAACAAAATCTACAGAGTTCTGCTTGATCATATGGCATCCTGTCAAAACCATATGGCACCTTAATAGTCAACATTACAGACTTTGGAGTGCTCATCACAGAATGGTTCAATACGATTCAGCTACATTTAGTTTGAAAGAGGAAGGTCTTTTTCTCATTAGAATACCTCCATTCTAAGTAGGATACAGATTCCTTGTCACGTAGAAAACAATGGTGCCATCAACTGAAGATGTTCTTGTGTTTTAGAGCTGTAGTTTCACTGTTGTAACCGGGACAACCAGTACCAGATGTGGTGAGTAGGCATGTGGCACAGAAACCACCCACACTCTTTCACTTCTACCTCAAATCACCCAGGCCTGCACAAACCACTGCACCCATGCATATTCAATCAACTCTGCACCCATGCATATTCAACTATCTATGAGCTCAATGCAAAAGGGTCCTTTTCTCCTAAATGTATTGCTACATAAGCTAAATGTCAGCATATTACAAATGTCTCTCAAATTCAAAACGTTACAATACACACAGTCAATGAATGACAATAGTGGGAAGTTCGAAGCAGAAGACTGGGGTTTTTCTATAGAATTTAAATAATAAACACCTAAAGGTTGCTTCTGCAACACCCGCAACTGTCAAGTGAGACCACATCCTCTTTCTTTACTGAGAGCTGCACACGCACATCCTCCACGTTAGTAATCCATGACAGTGAGAGAGGAAGAGAGGAGGGGAAGAAAAGAGAGAGAAAGAGACACATCTACATTTACGTCATTTAGCAGACGCTCTTATCCAGAGCGACTTACAAATTGGTGCAATCCCCTTATAGCCAGTGGGATAACCACTTTACAATATATATATATATATATTTTTTTTGGTGGGGTAAAGGGGGGGGGGGGGGGGGGGGGGGGTAGAAGGATTACTTTATCCTATCCCAGGTCTACACTACAATCAAGTACTAAACAGCTTGTTAGGGGTGGCTGGAATAAACTTTTCAGTACAAAAGATTCACTGATCAAGAGCACCAATGAAAATGCTTCACAGTACTAACATGACAGTCATTGTAAAAAAAAAAAAAAAGGGCCAGTGCTGCTGCTCTTGGAGAAGAGGTTTTGTTTTCCCACAGAGAAAAACATGCTTGCCAACCTCCACATTTTTCCCCCTATAACCTTCAGAAACAATGGTACAGGCCAACAGGGCCCGAGTCTGTTCAAACACATACAGGCAGACAAACACACAGACACAAAGGCAGACAGACAGACAGCTTTGTGTGGAGCCTACTGCATCCTGTCCAAATAGCAAACCCACATTTGTACACCAAGTATTGCGTTTCCTGTAGCGGTATCCTGCGGCGTGTATGTGTTAATTAGTTTTTTTTGCTTGTCATGATATTGATGTTATTACTCTGCTGCAATTCATTAGGCTTGTACACTTCAGTTATTCGTTTCATAGGTTGCCTATCATCAGTGGAATCAATTTTAATTCAGTAAAATCTACTTTTTCCTCTTTGTAAAGAAATAAGTAGGAATATCATATGTATTCAATTAGTGTTCATGTGTTGAGCACAGAAAAATCACAATAATGTAGCTTATGATCTTGTTACCGAAAATATAATTTTTCCCTAGTTTGAACTTTCCATCGTCTCTAACTTGAGTATATAACATTTGGCTTATCGACAAGAGTTTGGGATCCTATAAAGACTAATTCTACATGACTTTTGTTCTTGTTATTTAAACCCCTCTGGGTGCCAAATCAAATGCAGCAAGTTGGGCTGTAATTTTGTTCCAACATGACCACCGTCCAGACCAGAAATTCCTCGCTGGGCCTTGCAAGTTCCCCTTGCAACATGACTCCACAGTCCCGCACACAGATGCCAAAAACATCAAAGTGAAGGTCAAGTTTAAAAAATAGCCTTTTCTTTCGCTAAAATAAAATGAGGAACCACACCTCACACAAGAAGTAATATTTAAATATCAAAAGTTTATTCTACTAAAAATGATTTATTTTATTCAGATTGAAAATAGATAACATACACATTTATACTTAAAATATATACTGTGAGCTCCAAAAGTATTGGGATAGTGACACATTTTTTGTTGTTTGGGCTCTGTACTCCAGCACTTTGGATTGGAAATTATAGAATGACTATGAAGTCACTAGAGATCCTGGTTCGAATCCAGGCTCTGTCGCAGCCGGCCGCGACCGGGAGACTCATGGGCGGCGCACAATTGGCCCAGCGTCGTCCAGGGTAGGGGAGGGAATGGCCGGCAGGGATGTAGCTCAGTTGATAGAGCATGGTGTTTGCAACGCCAGGGTTGTGGGTTCGATTCCCACGGGGGGCCAGTATAAAAAAAAATATATATATGTATTCACTAACTGTAAGTCACTCTGGATAAGAGCGTCTGCTAAATGACTAAAATGTAAAATGTAAGTTAAAAGGGCAGACTGTCAGCTTTAATTTGAGGGTATTTTCATCCATATCAGGTGAACCGTTTACAAATTACAGCACTTTTTGTCCATAGTCCCCACATTTTAGAGGACCAAAAGTATTGGGACAAATTCACTTATGTGAATAAAATTAGTCAAACATTTAGTATTTGGTCCCATATTCCCAGCACACAATGATTACATCAAGCTTCTGACTCTACAAACTTGTTGAATGCATTTGCTGTTTGTTTTGGTTGTGTTTCAGATTAGTTTGTGCCCAATAGAAATGAATGGTAAATAATCTATTGTGTCATTTTGTGGTCACTTTTATTGTAAATAAGAATAGAATGTTTCTAAACACTTCTACATTAATGTGGATGCTACTATGATTACGGATAGTCCTGAATGAATTGTGAATAATGATGAGTGAGAAAGTTAGACGCACAAATATCATACCTCCCCCCCCCAATTCATTCAGGACTATCCGTAATCATGGTAGATGTAATCATTGCGTGCTGGGAATCATTGTGTGCTGGGAATATGGGACCAAATACTACACTTTTGACTACTTTACATTGACATTTTAGTCGTTTAGCAGACGCTCTTATCCAGAGCGACTTACAGTTAGTGAATGCATACACTTTAATATACATAAGTGAATTTGTCCCAATACATTTGGTCCCCTGAAATGGGGAGACTTATGTACAAGAAGTGCTGTAATTCCCAAACGGTTCACTCCATATGGATTAAAATAGCCTCAAATTAAAGCTGACAGTTTGCACTTTAACCTCACAGTCATTGTATCGTTTCAAATCCAAAGTGCTGGAGTACAGAGCCAAAACAACAACAAATGTGTCACTATCCTAATACTTTTGGAGCTCACTGTATATACAACATGTGTCTAGGTAAAAGAGCATGAAGCTTGGCAGCCATATCCAGGGCAAGCCTGAGCTGGAGTGAAATGTAATGAAACCAATTCCTACCAGACAGTAGTGTGGCCTGATGCTTCATTCACAAACACACACTAAAAAACACTCACACACACACACACACACACACAATGTCGTCAAAAACGACAGTGCAAAAGTCTAAAAATGGATCCCACTGTTATACGTTCCCCGTAGAACAGCATCCACCATCTTTAAGGTCCCCCTGAAAATGAAACACAGATATGGATTAGTGAAATAACAGAGGTGTCCATTGTGTCACTAGGAGCAGATATTCTGTTGTTTAGAGCGTAGACGTAGGACAGCATTCCTATACTACTGTGAAGGAGTGAGCTCTTCACTACAAGGATATTGTTTAGTTAATGTATTTATTGCTTATTTATCGGATAAACCAAGTTGTTTGCAGAATCCCTTTCATTTCAACCATTCCTCATTCCATGCAATTAATACTATAGCTGCAATGTCAATTACGCAGAATTTTATTAGTGGAAACATAGGGCAGGGGTTCCCAAACCTTTTTGCTTTGTGACCCACCAATTGAGGTGTCTTGAGTCGCGACCCACCATAAGGGTTGAGCAGTAAAAAAAAAAAAACGATCAAAGAATAAGTAAAAAAGATTGAAATGTTAACACCAATTAACACCCACCCGCTTAACCCGGAAGCCAGCTGCACCAATGAGGAAACACCGTTCAACTGACGACCAAAGTCAGCCTGCAGGCGCCCGGCCCTCCCCTAACCCGGACGATGCTGGGCCAATTGTGCGCCGCCCTATGGGACTCCCGGTCACGGCCGGTAATGACACACGGCCGGTAATGATCGAACCCCAGGCTGTAGTGACGCCGCAACACTGCGATGCAGTGCCTTAGACCGCTGCGCCACTCGGGAGGCCCCTTTCTTTGAGTGGATGTTTGAATAAAGGTGTGGTCCCTCTGACCTAATTATTGAAGGAACTATTTTAACAGCAGGTGTGTCATTATTTGAGAGATCCTTGTGTGTGTGTGTAAGGTTAGCCACAGTTTTCTGTCTGTTTTCAACGTTTTCTTTGTTAGAGTGTCGGCCAGCTCTCAACTACCTATACAAAAGTAATTAAACAAGCATTTACATTTACATTTTAGTCATTTAGCAGACACTCTTATTCAGAGCGACTTACAGTTAGTGAGTGCATACATTTTCATACTGCACTAACCATTTCATCAATCATCACAATTACCAATGCTAAAACTACAGCTATGACCTCATTTCATCCTTTGTACCCCAGAGAGAGTTGCTCATGCTTACCTGCAGTGTGAGGGTGTGCTCAGTCTCTGAGAGGCCCGTGGAGCCCCAGAGGGATGGGTCCTCCTGCAGGGCCAGTGTCTGGTTGACAAACCTCAGCATGCCCGTCAGGGAGCTCATGTCCATCTCCTCCTGGGTCTCCTGCCTGAGGAGGGACTCTCTTTCTGGGTCTCTCCCCTCCTTCTCCTCCCTCTCCTCCGACATTTTGTCCACCATGTAGGTGAGGGGGTTGAAGGAGAGGTCTGAGGCAGAGGCGGTCCTCCAGGCGGCTGAGGCCCTGCCAGCTGTGGTCAGGCTGGTAAGGGGTGGGGGACAGAAAGGAGGTGTCCCAGGGGAGGTGTTGACCCAGGGCTTCCCGTAACGTGGCCTTCAGGTTCTGAGGGAGATCAAGGGAGGAGTCCACACTGCTGCCCTCCACGGGCCAGTCTGGAGTGTGGGTTTGGGGCGGGCGAGGAGGGGAGTAGTGTTGTATGTGTGGGGATGGAGGGGAACGGGTGTGAGAGTGAGTGGGTGGTGGAGAGTGATGGGAGAGTTTGTGAGGGGTGTGGGTGTGTGTGGGTGGGGAGGAGCGGGTGTGTTTATGAGGAGAGTGGGTGCATGAGTGAGTGTGTGGGGGAGAATGGTGGTGTGTGTGAGGGGGTGGAGGGGATGAGGGCAGGGTGATCTCTGGGTGAAGGTGGAATGTGGCATGGTGCAGCTCTGTAGCTCTCTCCAGACTGGAAATTCTGGCCTGTAGGCGGGTGACTTCTGACTCCTGTAGGAAGGGATGAGAAGAGTCAGTCATTCAGTAGCTAGGTTTTATTTTCCCACCAGAGGTGTGTTTCCATCAAACTGACTTGTTGCGGATAAAAAGCTGTGTGTGTTACATTAAAAGCACTTTTATGCGTAATTCCCCATGTTCAACCTTTCATCACATTTTCAACTCTACCGATGGTTTTGTCACAAAAACTGTTGGGATAAATAGCAAACTTGCCCAATCTGGTTTTGGGGCATGCTCTATAGACAAGGGGTAGGTTATATGATGAGATACGGATTATAGCAAGATTATTTGATTTGATAATTGGCAGCCAAGCGCCAGCATTCAAATAATAGTCTACCCTCGATATTTAATGAAAATGTGCATGATCACTGTGCACTGAATCATGTAAAGTTCATCATAACTAATTTAAATCTGCCTATAAACTTAATGCTTTTCTACGTCATGGTGGTAGGCCTACAACGTAACATATCATTGCATGACTCCAAGTTTATTTTGATATGATGGTTATTATATAAATATTTGTGCATAAAAGGTGTTTCCACCGCAATTGTCGCATAATCAATTTCACCAGACAAAAAACAATTATCCGCCCTTGTCCAGTGTGTTTTGTTTTGTCAACATTAGGAATTTTGTTTCCATCAGGCCTGTTGTGAGTTTTGCATCAGGTAATTCATCCACATGGAATGGTTGGATGGAAACCTGGTTACTGACAACGAGGTAAAACTATCAGCTAGGCCAAAAGTTAATAGCACCAAATAAAATTAAGGAGCGCCAGAAAAATTGATTTTTAAATCTAGGAACCAAAGTGTTGGTCAGTGTTTCCCAGGGGACCCTAATCACATTTGAATAGAGGCTGCCCTGACTCCTTCACCATTTCTTAATACCTTATAGGATGAGGCAATTATTTCCTCTCTAAAATGTCCTCCATCTTGGAGGAAGACAGCACAATGAAATTGGAGTATATGTTCATGCCCAGTAGGGTGTGGGGGGGGGGGACACTTCACTAGCCCAGTCCTCCTGTACTCTACCTTGATGAGCAGGGCCTCGCGGGCGCTCTGCAGGCTGGTCTGGTTGGTGTGGAGCTGGGCTTGCAGGTGGGCCACCTGGGCCCTGGTCTGCTCTAGCTGCAGCTGGCTCTGCTGCAGTCTGGAGGCCAGGTGCTCCTGGGAGCTCCGCAGGCTGCAGCTCATCTGCTCCGACACCTTCAGAAGCTGGCCCCGCGTCTGCTGCAGGGAGCAAAGCTGAGGGAGGGGCAATGGAGAAAGGGGAAGGAGGAGAGAGAAGTTACAGCGCGTACTCTAGGAACTTCAGCAGTTATTACATGTGTAAAATAACAGGTGATTAGGGAAATGAAGAGAAACAAAGAAGTGAAAGAGGAACTGGGGAAGAGATTGATCCAAGAGCATGGATGAGGTGATATACAGTGGGGGAAAAATGTATTTAGTCAGCCACCAATTGTGCATGTTCTCCCACTTAAAAAGATGAGAGAGGCCTGTAATTTTCATCATAGGTACACGTCAACTATGACAGACAAATTGAGGAAAAAAAATCCAGAAAATCACATTGTAGGATTTTTAATGAATTTATTTGCAAATTATGGTGGAAAATAAGTATTTGGTCACCTACAAACAAGCAAGATTTCTGGCTCTCACAGACCTGTAACTTCTTCTTTAAGAGGCTCCTCTGTCCTCCACTCATTACCTGTATTAATGGCACCTGTTTGAACTTGTTATCAGTATAAAAGACACCTGTCCACAACCTCAAACAGTCACACTCCAAACTCCACTATGGCCAAGACCAAAGAGCTGTCAAAGGACACCAGAAACAAAATTGTAGACCTGCACCAGGCTGGGAAGACTGAATCTGCAATAGGTAAGCAGCTTGGTTTGAAGAAATCAACTGTGGGAGCAATTATTAGGAAATGGAAGACATACAAGACCACTGATAATCTCCCTCGATCTGGGGCTCCACGCAAGATCTCACCCCGTGGGGTCAAAATGATCACAAGAACGGTGAGCAAAAATCCCAGAACCACACGGGGGGGCCTAGTGAATGACCTGCAGAGAGCTGGGACCAAAGTAACAAAGCCTACCATCAGTAACACACTACGCCGCCAGGGACTCAAATCCTGCAGTGCCAGACGTGTCCCCCTGCTTAAGCCAGTACATGTCCAGGCCCGTCTGAAGTTTGCTAGAGTGCATTTGGATGATCCAGAAGAGGATTGGGAGAATGTCATATGGTCAGATGAAACCAAAATGTAACTTTTTGGTAAAAACTCAACTCGTCGTGTTTGGAGGACAAAGAATGCTGAGTTGCATCCAAAGAACACAACACCTACTGTGAAGCATGGGGGTGGAAACATCATGCTTTGGGGCTGTTTTTCTGCAAAGGGACCAGGACGACTGATCCGTGTAAAGGAAAGAATGAATGGGGCCATGTATCGTGAGATTTTGAGTGAAAACCTCCTTCCATCAGCAAGGGCATTGAAGATGAAACGTGGCTGGGTCTTTCAGCATGACAATGATCCCAAACACACCGCCCGGGCAAAGAAGGAGTGGCTTCGTAAGAAGCATTTCAAGGTCCTGGAGTGGCCTAGCCAGTCTCCAGATCTCAACCCCATAGAAAATCTTTGGAGGGAGTTGAAAGTCTGTGTTGCCCAGCGACAGCCCCAAAACATCACTGCTCTAGAGGAGATCTGCATGGAGGAATGGGCCAAAATACCAGCAACAGTGTGTGAAAACCTTGTGAAGACTTACAGAAAACATTTGACCTGTGTCATTGCCAACAAAGGGTATATAAAGTATTGAGAAACTTTTGTTATTGACCAAATACTTATTTTCCACCATAATTTGCAAATAAATTCATTAAAAATCCTACAATGTGATTTTCTGGATTTTTTTTCCTCATTTTGTCTGTCATAGTTGACATATGATGAAAATTACAGGCCTCTCTCATCTTTTTAAGTGGGAGAACTTGCACAATTGGTGGCTGACTAAATACTTTTTTTCCCCACTGTATACAGTAGAGCCCTCAAACTCAACTCTGGATCTCGAAGCCAGTTCCACTGTGTTTTTTTCCATTCTTCCCCTCTAATCAGGGACTGATTTAGACATGAGACACCAGGTGGGTGCAATTAATTATCAGGTAGAACAGAAAAACATCAGGCTCTGGTAGAATACCCCTACAGTAGAGGATGACAGAAACAAAGAACAATGGAGAAAGAGGAAGATGGAGTGTGCGTGAGAGAAAGAGACAAGACAAATGGACAGACAGAGACAGTGACTGAAACAGAGACAGACAGAGACAGTGACTGAAACAGAGACAGACAGAGACAGTGACAGTGACTGAAACAGAGACAGACAGAGACAGTGACAGTGACTGAAACAGAGACAGACAGAGACAGTGACTGAAACAGAGACAGTGACTGAAACAGAGACAGTGACTGAAACAGAGACAGACAGGCTGTACTACAGAGACAGTGACTGAAACAGAGACAGACAAATGGACAGACAGTGACTGAAACAGAGACAGACAAATGGACAGACAGTGACTGAAACAGAGACAGAGACAGTGACTGAAACAGAGACAGAGACAGTGACTGAAACAGAGACAGAGACAGTGACTGAAACAGAGACAGTGACTGAAACAGAGACAGTGACTGAAACAGAGACAGTGACTGAAACATACAGGCTGTACTACAGAGACAGAGACAGTGACTGAAACAGAGACAGACAAATGGACAGACAGAGACAGTGACTGAAACAGAGACAGACAGAGACAGTGACTGAAACAGAGACAGACAGAGACAGTGACTGAAACAGAGACAGACAGAGACAGTGACTGAAACAGAGACAGACAGGCTGTACTACAGAGACATCCACAGTTCTTGGGCCCTGTTGTACCTCCTTGCTGTGCTGTTCCCTCTCCTGCTCCAGCTCCTGCTGTAGGGAGGAGATGGTGACTTGCAGTCTGGCCTCCCCCTGGACCCAGCGGCCCTCCCTGGCAGACAGCTTCTCCTCCAGACTCCTCACCTGCACCTCCTACATGAGACCCAACAACACAGTTAAGGTCATCATCTGACCATAAAAGAATTGACAGAAATACCACACTTTGTTATTATGGATAAACAGTAAGAATACATGGATGTATTGGGCATGACCTTTTATAAACAGCAACAAAATGAAGGTTTCACCTTTTCCCTGGCATGTTGAGTGATGCTGTCCAGCTCTCTTATCAGGCTCTCGCAGCGAGTCTGTGTGTCCTGCAGCTCTTGCGTCGTCTTCTGGAGCTCTTGCGTTGTTCTCTGCAGCTCCTCCCGACACACACGCAGGTTCTGGCCCTGCCCCAGAGAGTCCTGGAGCAAAAGGTCAAAGGTTAATCAGACGGAGCCTAGATGGTCAGTCCATAGATTTTAAAAAGCATTTCCTCTATGGATTACTCCAAATAGACTTGAAGCTTGTCATGGTTCCTTCTGTGGTTCATTCAAAAGGTTCCAAAAAGGAAACACTGAACAATGCATGATATTCCATTATGAGGTTATGATCCAGAAGCATCTTGCCAGTTGCTATAGTTTCTAAGTTGTATGCTGTTGGTGGCGTTTTATTCACACCATAATTGAGGTATATAACAACTTCTCTGTTCAACGATAACTTTCAACCATTTATCTGTCCCTCCATCAGTATAATGATACCATAAGTATTTTCCCATCTTTCCGTACTTCAACTTATCCCTCTATCGATCAATAGATCCATTCCTCCCACCATACCTTCTCAGAATCCTCCTTCCCTTGTAGTTGTGCTTTTAGCAGGTCTAACCTCTCACTCAAAAACTCTACCTGTGGAGCCAAAACATGAAGTGGTAGTCAACAACAACAGTACTTCAGCTATATCACTATAGCAGAATGGACAGTACTTGTAACAGGAATATGCTTTCCAGGGGCAACAATGATCCCAAATGAAGAATAGAAGTCTGTGTGTAATGGGGCCTTTTACCCGTTTGTCTCTGTCTTTGACCTCTCTCTCTCTCTGGTCCAGAGCCTGCTGTAGGGACTGAACCTTCTTGTCCATCTCCAGCTTATGGTCTCTGATGGCCACATCCAACTGGCCCAGCTGAGGAAGAGGAGGGAGACGAGCTCTAAATCTGTTAGCATTCCATCCATTCAAGTTAAATAAACCTCATGTGGCACGCCATGCAATCAAATGTTGCCTCGGTTTAGTGTGTGTGTGTGCATACCAGCTGTGCTCTCTGTTGGAGCTCCCCCTGTCTCTCCTTCAATGCTGTGTCCATGTCCAACACCTCGTGGTTCCTCTCCTCCAACTCCATCTGGCTTTCCCTGTAGCACAAAGCCACACGTTACACAGGGATAGGACATCTTCAAACACACACAAACACACACCAATCATGTTACGTGGAGCTGGGAAACCTACACACACTAAATGTTCATACATATTTGGACTGTGAAATCACTGTACACCAGGGGCATGTTCTATTTCACACAGAAGATCTCAACATCTGATCCCAGCTGTGTAGCAGGCATTTTGTTTCAGTCACACACACACACACACTGGGGGGAATCAAAGGAAAACTACTTGAGACTGTAATGCAGAGATATTGTGAGTGTTTGAGATCAACTACATTGAAGTCTAAATCACTGATCTACAAATCCCCTTGCCTCCCAAATAACTACTCATTATGTGGCCAAGACTAGTGATTCTGTGCCTTGCCTTGCTCAAACTGATCCCCTCAGCCTTTTTTAGGCCTTTACTTTTACATACATGTCTTTAATTATATTGTATCAGTGGTTGAGATGGTGGGGTTCTGCACTGTAGCTGCTCAATAGGATTTACAGACCTTCATCAGGTGTTACTGTACTTGTTTTATGTTAGATTGACAGTGAGAGATAAATCGACATGTAAAACTGTCAAAGCTTCACAATAATACCTAGCCATTACATTCACCTGATTAGAATGTGCCGTTAGAAAGTTTGTGACACTGTCCACTTGTCAAGTCATATTGGCTGGGGGCATGCTGGGTGGGGGACAACTGTGTTTTTGACAAAGACGTTTACCAGATATGAACTGGTTGGTATCAGACGGAGGGTTTGAATCCATAGCAGACAGATGATATTGTATTTGGAATGGATGTAAAATCCTGTTGTGCTTGGTATCAGTGTGGGTCGTGTGTCTGTCTCTGTGTGTGTGTGTCTGTGTGTGTGTGTGTGTGTGTGTACCCAAAGCAAATGCTGTTTGTTCACTGACTGCAACAAAGCCTCAAAACAATACACAATGTATATACTATAAAAATATATTATGACATATATCAACAACATAATATAGCATGATACATATTATGAATGACAGAGACTAACTCAGCCAGAGACGAACTACACATGGATAGCCTATCCTCAAGTCAGGTTTTAGTGCAAAGAAAAGTTATGCTTTCAACATTACAACTAATTCTCAACAAATAAAATATGCACAGTACATAATATTTACTTTACAAATAGGATACATATTACATACAGTATATTATATTTACTTTTCATATAATCAAAAGTCACAGTTAAAGAAAAACAAGGTAATCCAAAATCAATTCTTCTTAAATCTGACCCAAGAATGTCTAAACATATCCCAAACATATGACTTCTGATTCAGTCTTCCCAAATCGCCCGTCAACGACGTCTCAGACAAATCCCCAGCGCTCGACCGGTCAGTGGTTGCCATGGTTACACAGGCCATTGAAGGCGCGTGTGACTTCCGGTGTGCTGCCAGCGCTTCTTCAATTAAACGTGGGATGAAATAGGTTGCAAAAATGAACTATGAATACCTTTACCTTCAAACTAACTCTGCATTTTCCATTAAAAAATGTACTTGGGGTGGGGGACTTTTATTTATGTTCTGAGTTTATTTTGTTTAGGAAGCATTTCCTAAAGATTTGAGCGGAGATGTGTTTTGTTCAGCAGAGCAACAAATGGACACCACCGGTCAAAGGTGTGTGTCTGTCGGGTGGTTGGCAGAGAGAGGCTCACCTGAGCTCGGCGGACAGTTTCTCCAGTGATGTCTGTCGTTCGTCTGCACTGAGCTGCGTGCGCTGTAACAGGTCTCTCAGCTCCTGTAGGTTCTCTAGGGTGTCGTGCATCTCACCGCGCACCCCCTGTAGCTGTCCCTCCAGAGTCTGCGCCCGCTGCACAGAGTTCCGCCTGTCCTCCTCACAGCGGTGGAGCTTCTCCTCCAAGTCCACAACTGAATGGAGGGGGGGAGGAGGAGGAGGAGGGGGAGGAGGAGGAGAAAGGGTTTCCACAATGACTATAGATGTGATAAAGAGGTCAATGGAACGCAGACCGTGGGGGATATATACAGTAATCACGAAACATCTAAATAAAATTGAATGAATGACTGAAGGTTTGAAGAAATAAAGACAGACAGAAAGAAATTAAATCCCCCCAGTTTGTCTTACCCGCGTCATTCTTCTTCTCCAGTAGGCCCTGGGTCTGCTGCAGGGTCTCCTCCATGCAGCTGAGCTGGGAGGACTTCATGCTGGCGTCCCGCCGCAGCCTTTGCAGCTCCTGCTCCATGGATGACAGCTCCCCACGACACTTATTCATCTCAGACGACAGCTGACTGGAATACACATGCACACACAGTTAGTTAGCATACAAGTATCCTCACACAGATAAAAATACATGTACAGGTACAGACATGCAGAGATTCACACCCTGCACTCACACACATCCTAGACACCCTCCATCTGGCGCCTACCGAACTGTGCACAAATGTGCCCCCATTAGGAATCCTCTCCGCAACATAGACCCCTGCACGACCCGCAAGAACATGGAGCCAACTCAGGCTCTATATGACTTGGACCGAACTAGAGTACTAACTGAGTAATAATAACTAGAGTACTAACTGAGTAACAATAACTAGAGTACTAACTGAGTAACAATAACTAGAGTACTAACTGAGTAACAATAACTAGAGTACTAACTGACTAACAATAACTAGAGTACTAACTGAGTAACAATAACTAGAGTACTAACTGACTAACAATAACTAGAGTACTAACTGAGTAACAATAACTAGAGTACTAACTGAGTAACAATAACTAGAGTACTAACGGAGTAACCTGACGTAGAGTACTAACTGAGCAACGAGAGTTAGAACTGAGTACGATCTGAGTATCGATCCTTCCTAAGTAGCGACTTAATAGACAAAGCAATGTGCTTTCCTAGTCAAAGTGCTCCTCTATGCTTTGCTACGCTCTTTTAATAAGTGTTCAACTCCACCCTAAGTGAAGCTCCCTAAGCCCTCTCTCTAAGGAGGATGCTTCAGAGAGTGGAGCGCTGTATATATACCCATGACAAGGGAGAGTGTGGCGTGGGGGACAGTAAACCCTCTGGTTGTAGAGGCACTAGAGTCATGGGACTGTCTTATTCTGTCAGCACTATGCCGATGGGAACATTTCTCTCCTTCTCGCCCTTTCTGTTACAGGGCAGGAGCTGCTCTGTCTGGATTGAACTCCAACAACTTCCATTGAACAACAGTACGGTATGGTTCAGTGTGGCACAATGGCTTGAGGGTTATTTTAAACTAAACTTTTCATGGAATCAGATATCAAAACATGTGTTTGTTTTCAGGGTAAACAAACAAATAAGCATATTTGAATGGCTTGATTAACGAATCAGACGTTAATGCAATGTCTGAATTAAATTACATTTAGTGAATTGTGTGACTGAAGCGTTCTATCGCAAACTAAGTATAGACAAATATGTTTAATTTGAATGAATAAAAATCTTCTGTCTAGTCTTACGTGACAGAGCCAGAGAGCTGTGCAGCCTGTCTCCTCTTCTCTTGCACCTCCTTGTCAGCCTCCTGCACCTCCTTCTCTCTCCTCCTCAGCTCCTCCTCCAGAGACAAGCGCGCACGCTCCAACTCCTGCTCCAACCCAGACACCTGGCAACAAATATCATTCATATTATATATTAATATCCCATACTCAATTAGTAATATCATGTTTAAGCACTATCCTGAACATAGGCTACAAATACCGTAATAAAACTGGTTTTACTTTACAGTAAGTTGCATTTATACCTGTGTATAGTAGTCATGGAGACAAACATTTTTTGTTGTTGTTTTGCTATGTGTTTTTCTTACAGTAAAATACCCAATTACATGATTCACCTTAAAACAATGGAAGACTTGATGATAACCTAGTTGACAAACGGTTTACACAGAAAGCATGTTGCCTGTGGGAAGTTCAGCTCTCATGTCCCCTGTCAAGCCACACTTTGTAGACAGAAAAGTCCTGCCCGCAAGTTCATAGATTTATATCGGCTTTGGTAAATGGAGTCATTGTACTATGTTCTTGTTGTGAGGGAAGTTTGAGAAAGAAAAAGGAACACTCTCACACGAACAATGTTGCAAGAACATGTGAAATGATTAGCTCCCATGATTATAACCACATAAAGGTCCCTGATAAGTTAAATACTCAAATGTATTGAAGTGAATGCATTGACTATATGCATTTGCTTTTCAGGGGGTGTTATTGGAAGCACTTTAACACTGAAGTCAATAGAATAGGCTGTGTCCTGCTTATTCAGTTGCATGAAGACCCATGAAGACTACTGACCATTGACATACAACCTGGGTCTCTCCATCAAATGTCCATGTCCCGGTAGCTAGCTCCATGAAAAATGTTTTACCTTCGGTATCACTGCAATGTCAGCGTTCTCCCTGTCTACAAGACACATATTCCTACCTGCCGTCTAGGTAGAGTATTTCTCAGTCTCTCCAGCAGGCTTCCGTACCTGTCCCTGTAGCTGGCTCTGGCTTTCCTCCAGTTCGGCCACACGGGTGCTGCTCTCCTGTAACATGCTCTGTTGCCGCTGCAGGGAGTACTGGAGCTGGACACACTGCTCACTGGAGCGACTACACACCAGAGTACTGCCACGCAACTCCTCCCGCAGAGACGACAGCTGTGGAGTATAGAGGGACAGGGGGTTACACACACACACACACACATGGACTGTCACACACGCATACACACGCACACACACACAAGCATGGTAGCAGAGACTGTCAGACAGTCACAATGGAGTATAAGCAACAGGTAGGTACCAACATGTAACACAGACACACACCTCTTGGACCTTGACGTCCAGCTGTCTCTGATAGCGCTCCTTAGCGTCCTCCATCTGCAGTAGGTAGGAGCTCAGCTCATCTCTGCAGGACGACAGGGCTGTCTCCAGCTGCCTCACCTCAAACACAGACACACAACATACTCATGTCAAACGGTCATGTTATATGTTCTGTATTGATGTCCATGTTATTTTTCCTTGCCACCTTGCCATACATCCTTGTCAATGATCTACGGTAAGATAACAGTAAGACATTCGATTTGATTTTGATATGTCATCACCAAGCACAAGACTGTTACTGTAGTAATTGTTCAATCACACGTGTTTGTAGACTACAGTACATACAGTTGATATGCATTTAAACTGAGGGCTAGAAAAACCTGGGTATAGCATTCAGTACAGTATTTTCCATGTATTGTGCACCAACCTTGGTGGAAGACTTTGTGGCCTGCTCTTTGACACTCTGTAGAGCCTCCTCACTGTGTCTCACTGTGGTCTCTCTCTCCTGGTGATAGGTACATTGAGGTTTCATGAAAAGGTACAGAGCACACAAGCAAGACATTCAAGGTCGCCAATCTCATTACATTAACGCTATGGATTCATGTACGGTCATGAAATGTCATTTAATGAGTGTTCTGGCACAAAATGGCTGCCGGGCCATGCATCCCAGTTACATAGTAGTGGTGGATGAGAGGATGTGTAGTCTGAAACTGTATAGCTGTGGTGGCTCTGACCTGCGTGAGCTGGTCCAGGGAGACCTGCAGCAGGTGGGCTGTGCTCTGGGCCTCGTGTCTCTCCCTCTGGGCACAACACACAGCCTGCTCCAGCTCTGAGAGCTGGGCCCGGGTCTGGTCCAGAGACAACTGCAGCTAGAGACAGGGAAGGAGCAAGAGCGAGAGACAGGGACAGAGGCAAAGAGTTAAAAAGGGAGAAAGCCACTACTACTGAGAGAGTCCACAACTACATTTGACTTTTGCTTGATTCCATTATTTGATCTCCAGCACATGTCCAAAAACATTGGGTGTGCATATGTTGTTCTCTTTCCTAGAACGATAAAGGAAATGAGATAAGGGAGAGTGAGACTGACAGGATGATAAAAGTCACAAAGATAAAGTGACACAGGAAGTTGATGATAAATCAGGAACTGTCTATAAGAATGAGGAAGAAAGACAGTGAAATTAATAAATCCACACACAAACACAAGACTCACCACTTTCACTCTGTCCTGCAGCTCCTTGCACTGGTCAGCACAGTCCTTTTTACTTTTGTCCAGAGCCTGCTGGAAGTCCCTCTGCTTCTTGGTCATCACAGACTGGTAGTGCTGGATACCACTTGTCTTCTCCTGGGGTGAGAGAAAGAGAATGAGAGAGTAGCTCATTACAATGAGCATCCTTTATGAGTCACTTAATGTGACGTGTGTGTGTGTGTGACGTGTGTGTGTGTGTGTGTGTGTGTGTGTGTGTACCAGCAGCTCCTGCTCCAGCTGAGTGTTCTTCAGGGCGGCCAGCGAGTAGGCAGAGCTCTTCTCCTGCAGCTGTTTCTCCAGAGCCGCCACACGAGCGCTCTTCTTCTTCAACTGTAGCAGGACAGCAAGACCACCATAGGGAGACAGTCAGAATTCAACAGATACGACTCACACCTCAGACACACGCACCCTATCATGCGTACAAGCGCGACAACAAACAAACACCGACAAAGCTAAACATTCGCTACTGCAGGTCTACACACTCAGACTACATGTTGTTGTGTAAAACAAAGCCAAGCTCTAGTCCATCTGTGTTGGCAGATCTGACAGAACCTCTACGTCCACTGGAAGGCCAGATGAACCATCACTACTACGCTTATCCATTCACTACAGATCTGCAAACCCAGAAGGGATAAGGGAAGAGGCAGCGGCTGGTGGTTTTGGACTCGGCACACCTCTCCCCTTCCCAACTCATTCTCCTCACCTCCTTCTCGGCATCGGTAGCCTGGCTGGCCCTCTCTAGCAGCTCGCTGTGGACCTGCTGGTAGTGAGAGGCCCTCTGGGCCATGGAGCTGTGCAGGGAGGAGACCTCCTCCTGGGCTTTAGACAGCCTCTCCTGGAGCCTGGAGGCCAGGGAGCTTTGTCTGCCCCGCTCTGCCTCCACCGCCTGGAGCACTGGGAGCAGCTGCTGGTAGTGCTCACCTGGAGGAGTGGGGAGAGGGGGGAGATGGAGGGGTGTAGAGGGAAAAGGGGGAGATGGATGGATTGGAAGAGGGGGTAGGTAGAAGAGAGCAAGATAAAGAAAAATCACTCACAGCCCAACAACCACAGGCAACCAAATAAATACATCAACTTAGTTCAAAGATATACATCTGGTTCACAGGAGGACGGCTCATAATAATGGCTAGAATGGCATGAATGGAACGGTATCAAACGTGTGTGATACCATTCCATTCTAGTCATTACTATGAACCCGTCCTCCCCAATTAATGTGCCACCAGCTGCCTGTGATTTGGTTGTACTGTACACACACCTGGCTTGGGTCGGAGTAGGTCTGTAGTTCCTATGTAATCCACTGGGGGCAGCATACAGGGCTTCACACAGAGCGGTCCCTCATCGCCCTGTTACAACACAACCCCATCAAGTGTCTAAAGAAGGATCTCCCCATCGCTTTGAGATGCCCCCCAAGTTGTTTGTCTGTGTTTGTGCATGCAAATATATGTCTGAATGGGAGTGTGTGTGTGTGTGTGTGTGTGTGTGTGTGTCTATGTACGTGCGTGTGTATGTACGCGCGTCCCCAATCCTCCATACCTCTCGGAGATGCAGCAAAGCCAGTATGCTCTCCAGACTAGCTAATTCAGCCTGGCTCTGCTGGGCCTCTCTCTGGCATTGGGCCAGCCTGTGTTCCTGGCACTGGGTGAGGGCCCGGAGGTCCTCTGTCTCCCTGTGGAGAGAGGTCAGCTCCCTGGCCGCCAAGGCCCGCTCCCCCAGCTCCATCTCCAGCCGCGAGGCCCGCTGGGTAGCCTCCTCCAGACGTCCCTGAAGCTCAGAGGTTTTTGTGTTGAGTGTGCGTGCCTGGGTGATCTCCTCCTTCAGCTCACTGGAGAAAGAGATGGTTTTAATTACATATATTGTTAGAAATATTTTCTAATATATTGAAAATTAAATACAGAAATAACTCATTTACATACACTACCGTTCAAAAGTTTGGGGTCACATAGAAATGTCCTTGTTTTCCATGAAAACGTATATCAAATTTGTTTGAATAGGAAATATAGCAAAATGAATAGGAAATGTAGTCATTGACAAGGTTAGAAATAATTATTTTTAATTGAAATAATAATTGTGTCCTTCAAACTTTGCTTTCGTCAAAGAATCCTCAATTAGCAGCAATTACAGCCTTGCAAACCTTTGGCATTCTAGTTGTCAATTTGTTGAGGTAATCCGAAGAGATTTCACCCCATGCTTCCTGAAGCACCTCCCACAAATTGGATTGGCTTGATGGGCACTTCTTACGTACCACACGGTCAAGCTGCTCCCACAACAGCTCAATAGGGTTGAGATCCGGTGACTGTGCTGCCACTCCATTATAGACAGAATACCAGCTGACTGCTTCTTTCCTAAATAGTTCTTGCATAGTTTGGAGCTGTGCTTTGGGTCATTGTCCTGTTGTAGGAGGAAATTGGCTCCAATCAAGTGTGGTCCACAGGGTATGGCATGGCGTTGCAAAATGGAGTGATAGCCTTCCTTCTTCAAGATCCCTTTTACCCTGTACAAATCTCCCACTTTACCACCACCAAAGCACCCCCAGACCATCACATTGCCTCCACCATGCTTGACAGATGGCATCAAGCACTCCTCCAGCAGCTTTTCATTTGGTCTGCATCACACAACTGTTCTTCTTTGTGATCCGAACATCTCAAACTTCAATTAGTCTGTCCATAACACTTTTTCCCAATCTTCCTCTGTCCAGTGTCTGTGTTCTTTTGCTCATCTTAATCTTTTTTTTTTTATTGGCCAGTCTGAGATATGGCTTTTTCTTTGCTACTCTGCCTAGAAGGTCAGCATCCCGGAGTCGCCTCTTCACTGTTGACGTTGAGACTGGTGTTATGCGGGTACTATTTAATGAAGCTGCCAGTTGAGGACCTGTGAGGCGTCTGTTTCTCAAACTAGACACTAATGCATTTGTCCTCTTGCTCAGTTGTGCACCGGGGCCTCCCACTCTTCTTTATATTCTGGTTAGAGCCAGTTTGCACTGTTCTGTGAAGGCAGTAGTACACAGCGTTGTACGAGATCTTCAGTTTCTTGGCAATTTCTCGCATGGAATAGCCTTCAATTCTCAGAACAAGAATAGACTGACGAGTTTCAGAAGAAAGTTATTTGTTTCTGGCCATTTTGAGCCTGTAATCGAACCCACAATTGCTGATGCTCCAGATACTCAACTAGTCTCAAGAAGGCCAGTTTTATTGCTTCTTTAATCAGCACAACAGTTTTCAGCTGTGCTAACATAATTGCAAAATGGTTTTCTAATTATCAATTAGCCTTTTAAAATGATCAACTTGGATTAGCAAACACAACGTGCCATTGGAACACAGGACTGATGGTTGCTGATAATGGGCCTCTGTACGCCTATGTAGATATATATATATTTTTTTAATCAGCCGTTTCCAGCTACAATAGCCATTTACAACATTAACAATGTCTACACTGTATTTCTGATCAGTTAGATGTTATTTTCTTTAGAAAACAAGGACATTTCTAAGTGACCCCAAACTTTTGAACGGTAGTGTAAGTATTCATAACCCTGAGTCAATACTTTGTAGAATCAGCTTTGGCAGCGATTACAGCGGTGAGTCTTTCTGGGTAAGTCTCTAAGAGTTTTCCACACCTGGATTGTGCAATATTTGCCAAATATTTTGGCCATTATTCTTGAAATAATTATTCAAGCTCTGTCAAATTGGTTGTTGTTTGGCTAGACAACCCTTTTAGGTCTTGCCATAGATTTTCAAGTAAATTTAAGTAAAAATTGTAACTCGGCCACTCAGAAACATTCACTGTCTTCTTGGTAAGCAACGCCAGCGAAGATTTGGCCTTGTGTTTTAGAATTTTATCCCTGATGTCCTTACACAGCTCTCTGGTCTTGGCCATTGTGGAGAGGTTGGAGTCTGTTTGATTGAGTGTGTGGACAGGTGTCTTTTATACAGGTAACGAGTTCAAACAGGTGCAGTTAATACAGGTAATGAGTGGAGAACAGGAGGGCTTCTTAAAGAAAAACTAACAGGTCTGTGAGAGCCGGAATTCTTACTGGTTGGTAGGTGATCAAATACTTATGTCATGCAATAAAATGCTAATTAATTACTTAAAAATCATACAATGTGATTTTCTGGATTTTTGTTTTAGATTCCGTCTCTCACAGTTGAAGTGTACCTATGATAAAAATTACAGACCTCTACATGCTTTGTAAGTAGGACAACCTGCAAAATCGGCAGTGTATCAAATACTTGATCTCCCCACCGTATATACTTATTATGGACACAGTATGCTTTACATTAGTTATCTTGTTGTTATTAGTTGTTGTTATTAGTCCCATCTTTCAGCTCCATTCAACACCTCCCATCTACCTCTTAACACCATCCATATTGGATTTCTATTTGCCATTTATTTTTCAACTGTACTGTGATGTGATGTTTTACAAAAGTTCTGAACCTTTCTATTCTCATTGTTTCTACAGATCGTAAATTGAAAATAAAATGTTTTGCTTAAAGTATTATTATTTTATTGATCGATTGACTATGACTTTTCAGATCACCCAGTAATGTTATCTGCAGGGTTAGCTCCAAGTAAATATTGCAATCCTTTAGCCATTCCTGGACCTGTGTCCAAAAACAAGCTACAAATGGACAGTACCAAAACAAATGATCTAATGATTCTGTCTTTCGCAGCAAAATCTGTAGAGCTGGGAAGATTGTATCCCCCATATAAATAACATTATATTGGTAGCAAGAATTTTATATAATAATTTAAATTGAAAAATTCTAAGTTTTGAATCCGGCGTCATTTTGCGTATCAATTCATAAACACTATGCCATGGAATCGGTACGTCAAAAATCTCTTCCCAACTATTTTGCAATCTATATGGGACGTCCTTAAATGAAACTGGTATATTTTTTTATTTATCACAATTTTCTTTAACCAATTATATTCTTTAATGCAAGGCCGACAGACAAGTTCCTTACTTTTTCCCCCTTCCACTTTCCTTTTCCATTTTCGCGGTAATGCTGCAATTATTTGGTTGTAATTTTGGGTAGAGCAGACATTTCCATATGTTATTGTTAGCTGCATGTGTGACATAACTCCACCAGTCCTACCGATTATATCATTTACGAAGATTATAATTTTTTTTGTAAATTTTGTCAACAAAAAAAAAAAGTTTTTTATCAATTAGTATAATTGAGTTTAACCACAATATTTGTTGCATTATTTGTTCTGTCGTTTCTGGAGGATTAAATTGAAATTGCAACCAATTTTCTATGGCTTGTTTTAGAAATAGTGATATTTGGGAAATGATTTCCTTTTCAAATAACTGAAAGTGAGAGGTTGTAATCTGAATAAAGGGAAAAAGGCCATTCTTGAACATTGGGTGAGACAATCTTACTAATTTGGTAGAGAACCAGTTCGGATTTAAGTATAACTTTTGTATGACTGAAGCTTTTAGTGATAGGTCTAATGCTTTAATATTTAATAATTTCTGTCCTCCGAATTCATATTCATTATATAAATAGGCCCATTTAATTTTGTCTGGCTTGCCGTTCCAAATAAAATGGAATCTTTTTTTCTCATATACATTTTTTTTAAAACTGTTTGCTAGGCATAGGCAAGACCATAAGCAAATAGGTCAACTGGGATAATACTAAAGAGTTAATCAGGGTGATTTTTCCACAAATAGACAGGTATTTACCTTTCCATGGTAGCAAGATCTTATCTATTTTGGCTAACTTTCTATTAAAATTTATTGGAGTGTGATCATTTATTTCATTTGGGATATGTATTCTGAGTTAATCCACATCACCATCAGACCATTTTATTGGTAAACTACATGGTAATGTAAAAGTTGTATTTTTTAGTGATCCAATACGTAATATAGTACATTTATCATAATTTGGTTGTAATCCAGAGAGGTTAGAAAATGTATCTAGATCCTCTATTAGGCTGTGGAGGGATTCAAGTTGTGGATTTAAAAGAAAACATGAATCATCAGCGTACAATGACACCTTTGTTTCTAAGCACTGGATTTCTAATCCCTTGATATTATTGTTGGATCTGATTTGAATAGCTAACATCTCGATGGCAATAATAAATAGATATGCCGATAGCGGACAACCTTGTTTCACTCCTCTTGACAGTTTAAAACTTTCTGAGAAATAGCCATTATTTACTATTTTACACCTAGGGTTACTATACATGGTTTTAACCCAATTTATAAGAGATTCTCCAAAATTGAAATGCTCCAGGCATTTATATATAAACCTCAGTCGTACTTTATCAAATGCCTTTTCAAAGTCTGCTATGAATAGTAGGCCTGGTTTCCCAGATTTTTCATAGTGTTCTATCGTTTCCAGTACTTGCCTTATATTATCTCCAATGTATCGTCCATGTAAAAAACCTGTCTGATTAGAATGAATAATGTCCGACAATACCTTTTTAATTCTATGCGCTATACATTTTGCAAGAATTTTTGCATCACAACACTGAAGTGTAAGGGGCCTCCAATTTTTTTAATGGACTGGATCTTTATATTTTCCACTTGTATCCTGTTTCAGTAATAATGAAATCAGACCTTCTTCTTGAGTGTCTGATAATCTACCATTTACATAGGAGTGGTTAAAACATGCTAATAACGGTTCTCTGAGTATATCAAAAAAGGTTTGGTATACCTCGGCTGGTATGCCATCCAACCCTGGAGTTTTCCCGGACTTAAAGTCTTTAATTGCATCCAGAAGTTCCTCCTCTGTAATTTCACCTTCACATGAGTCTTTCTGTATGGCTGTTAATTTTACATTATCAATAGAAAAAAAATCTCTACAATTAGCTTCAGTTAGAGGAGATGGAGGCGACTGAAACGAAAACATATGCTTAAAGTACTTTGTTTCCTCCTTCAAAATATAATTTGGTGAATCATGGGTGACTCCATCATTTGTAATCAGTTTCAGTACATTCTTTTTGGTAGCATTCCTATGTTGAAGATTAAAAAAGAATTTGGTTCATTTTCCCCCATATTCCATCCAGTTTGCTTTAAAAATCAGTTATAAATTCCTCTGTCCTAGTTAAAAACAAGTTATCATCCAATAGGCTTTGATAGTAGTCAAGACGACTAGCTTGATTGAGTCTCCGCCATGTATATCTCACTAGATCAGGATATTTAAGCCTCCATATATCTACTAGTTCTAATGTATACATGACATTCACGATTTCCTTAAGAGCATGAGGGTGATTGTTTGTAGTGTGATTTCCTTTACGGTCCATTGAGCTATTTAAAACGGTATTATAATCTCCCACCATAATAATAGAGTCTTGAATTGCTTACAGAGTTGATCATTTATTATATATATTATCAAAGAAGTGTGGATCATCATTATTTGGTCCGTAAAGGTTAAATGAGCCATATCTGTTTATGGTCCAATAACATATTTAAAATAATCCATCTACCTTGCGTATCTGTTTGCACAATTTGCACATTCGGATCGAAATTACTGTTAATTAATATCATCACCCCTTTTGAGTTTCTTTGCCCATGGGAGAAGTATATTCCCCCCCCCCCCATTCCTTTTTCCACGCAACTTCATCTAGAATTGTTGAATGAGTTTCCTGTAAACAATAGATATTATATTCCTTCTCTTGGAGACATGTAAATATTGTTCTTCTTTTGTTATTATCTGCTAAGCCATTACAATTATAACTGGCTATACTTATTTCACCACATACCATAATGGGATACAAGTTTCAAATCTATTTATCATTATATATGTTTGTAAATTTACCAATAAAAAAATACCATAGCGATTGACTGTCCATATAGCTGTACCATGATAATTGCATTGCTACTAAGTAACCCTCCAATTGTTCTCCACTAATTCCCCCGCTAAAGCCCCTCCCCATCCCAAGTTGGGCCATCATCCCAGTGACCAGCATACCACCCCCGTCCCCCGAGAGGCCAGGACCCATCCATCGAAAACAGCACACAGTGCCATCCACAAAACAGAAGCAGGTCAACCACCAAAAGCATTTCCAATGCTCTCACCTCAATATATATATATGTGGGATAAACATACACGCACATACTCTAACACACTCAACCCCTTTCCTCCACAATAAGATCAGATGCTCAACGGTTGTTACATCCCAGAGCCCAACTCAAGAAAGGACCTGATTTACGAATGCATATACAGTTACAGCTGTTTGAGAAAGCATGCAAGATTGAGCAAAAATGGACAACAATGTGAGATTTGATTAATCTATTTAATCTATGTCAAGTCCTAGGTGATGGAGATCAGATCCACCCTCTTCACCTGAGACACAAACACTCTGGTCCCCCGTTGTAACCATTTTCCCCAAGCATCTCCGTGCAGTCAGACCTTTGATTATTTTGTGCCACCTGGGCCACAATAATAAGCCCCCTCTCTGATTGTCTGAGTGTGACCCCCTCCCCATGGGTTACTGCAGCCAGTGTTGCCAGCACTGCCACTACCTGGGTGGGGGTACCCCACCGGCTAGGTACAAGGTCGTCAAGGTTCTCATTAGCAGCTTAGTGACCGTTTCTTTTAGTTTTTTTGTATCTTTCTCCATTATCGCAGCTTTTCCGTCACTCATTTCAAGACTCGTCTTCAACTCTTTTACATCATTACTGACCAACTCTAGTATGCATGCTTTGTAATGTTTCTAAAACAAATGTATAACTAGTAAGTAGTGGTATATTGAAACAAAACGGCAGAAATACTTTGAAAACAGCTACTGCAGAATGTATTTAGCTATAAATGTGATCATACGCAACTATTTTTATTCACAAATGCGAGTGAAACGTGTGCACTGTGGAGCCCTGACCACCCACCAACGTGGCTGGTGAAATATACATATTACCCGCCAATGCCAAAATCTACCCGCATTTGGCAGGTGGTACTTTTAGGCCCTGGTGATGATAATGCCCACACCCACCTGATGGTTTGGCCCTGCTCCTCTCGCACTCTCTCCATAACGGTGCACTTGCTCTCCAGCTCCTCTCTCTCTCGGTCACACACTATCAGACTCTCCTTCAGTTTGCTCTCGCTCTCCATGACCTTGGAAACACAGTCAAGCCATAATGTCAAAGGGTCGGTCACTACTAATTATTTACTCTGCTGAACTAAGTAAGGCTTCAATGAGATACCTTTTTCAGCTTAATGGAAATATTTGTCTTGTAGTCTTTGAAAGCGTCTGTGAGTTTCTCTGCATTTCGAAGGGCTTGGTTCCTTTGTTGCTCCGCTCTGTAAGAAACGAGACAGCTCAGTGCACTGTCGTTATTTCACACTAAAATACATGGTTATGACCGTGAATGAGCAACAAGTGTCAGTGTTTTCCTTAGCTAGATTGTTGCCTATGTCCAGGCACAAAGGGCCTGAAGGAACATCCTAGGATGCCAGCACCAAAATCCATTGAAAACAATAGGGGGCAAATTATTTTAGATGGGGAGAAACAAAGCTAAAACAAAGTAATGCAAGAGGAAACAAGTGTCAAGTGTTACCGTTTTCCTTGTCTGGTTGTGTCGGTAAGCTCTGTTCTGAGCATGCTCAGTTTGTCTCTGAGCTCGGCTACCTGTCTGTCACTCTGGGCTGCTGCCTGCTGGCTCTGCTCTGCCTTCAACTCTGCAGTCCTAAATCAACAACAAGTCAACAACAACTACAACATTCAATTCAGTTCTATTTTCATTCTGAAAAAGATATTGGAAAATACAAATTCAGTGAGACTTAACTTAATTACAATCTTACATTTAAGGACACGGCAATAAAAAAGATGCCAACTGACCGGAGTTCTTTGGCCTGGGCCTCCACCTCGGCCTCCAAGCCCAGGATCTGCTCCCTCATGACAGTCACACTGGAGGTCTTAGCCCCTACTGTGGAGCCCAGGAGACGGACCTGAAGGAAGAGCAGATACACAGACCATTTAGCATCTCTCCTAGCGAATGTCAATGATCTTTACATTCATGGTTGTTCTCACTTAGTACCTTGGTTTTAGAGCTGGCCAGTTCAATCTGGGCCGCCTCCAAGTCACTGATGAGCTGTCTGTTCTCCACAGCCAGGGAGGCATTCTCCTGACGCAGGCAGCCTAGCTTCTTCCTGAGGGGGGCAACCTCCATCTTCACTGCCCTGGATGAGGAGCACTGATGGATACAGAGGTATAGACAGGTTAAGACATGAACCACAAACCCAACACACACACACACACAGACAAGAAACACACTCAACTCACAATAATGTTACGCAAACAGACAAAGTCTGTGACATTATAGCTAGAGCAGAGTTAGTGCACAAACGACCACACACATACATAGTGACATACAGTAACATATACTGGTCCACCTCTAAATAAAGGGGATGTCTCTCTCTCTCTCACCCTGGAGTCAGTACTGGGTAGGCTTTCACAGGCCTGTCTCTCAGCTGTCCTACTCCTGTGGAGGGGTCGCGCAAGATTTGGGTTGCCAGGTGGAGGATGAGGGACATCAGGCCGCTGCAGGTCCTCTAGAGACAGAAGACCTGGCAACCCATCGACTAAACTCTTCTCAGAGCGCTCACTGTGACTTTCATGTCCTGAGTGACTGGGAGGATGGAGAAAAGACATGTCAAAGTAAGTGCTACACCTGTTGGACTTTCAGAGGACCTAACAGTCTGTTTGTCAATTGGGCTATGTGCGTGAGGAAATTACATTTTCCTGGCTTTGGCCACCATGACTGGCACCTACCTGTGACTAAGTGGGGAAATCACGTTAGCCATGTCTATTGTGATAGTTAGCAGCTAAATTAGCGTCGCTTACCTTAATTGTTCTCCCAAACTTTGCAAACTAATCTCAGTCAATCGTAATTGATTCCTTAAACTTGCCACATCTTCGACAAGATCCTCATCGTTGTTATTAAACATTGGTGGGTGTCATTTGCACACGCTAACGTTAGCTAGCTAGCTAACATCAACAACTCGCTAGCCAGTTTATCAATCACCAGGTTGCTAGGGTTCTTGTTAGCTAGCTAGTTAGCTAACTGACGCTGTATAGCAAATATATGCAGTGGTACTCTGGATAAAGTTAGTTAGCTAGTGTAATAGGTAAATACGCGGTGATTTTTTAAAAGGAAAGGTTCATAAAGTTTAAAAATCGTTTACTGCTTGACAGTTCAATCGCTCACTGCCAAAATCTAAACATCGCTCCAACATCGCGTCATCTGATTGGACGAGAGGGAACTGTGTGAAAAGTGATTGGTTGCACAAAGAGGTCGTGAACTGCAAAGGCCGCGAATGGTGGCGCGTTTTGACTGCCCAATTCAAAGCATATGTATCCTGGCCTCCTAGATTAGTTTTTTTTTTTTAGTGTGTTGGTTTCTGTTACTCCTGGCAAAATGTTATTCATCTCAATTTGTGGAGCAGAAATATGCAGAATAACGAAATATAGTGGATAATTAAAAAAATCATGCATAGAGATGTTTACTTTTGATTCATGAAGTTGACAACAACATATGTCATGAGTCATAGCTGAATAAATTCCCTTCAAAATGTGAGACTGACCCCCAGACATCTTGATATAGAAAACATTTCTCACAGGAACATTTTGACACAATTAATCATTGATAACCCAATAATAAAAAATGCATTTACTTTTAAAGTAATTTAAGAGGAAGGAAAAAAAACGGTATACGGGGATTGTATATACAGTTTCATTAAACATCCCATTGAATGCTCCAATATGCCATAATGTATGAGTGCCATTTCACATACCTATGTTTCTATCACGTGTGGCTTCATTCGTTAGACATGCAATATACAGCTTGATTCCAGGGAACCGACTACAGTCGTGGTCAAGTTTTGAGAATGACACAAATATTAATTTTCACAAAGTCTGCTGCCTCAGTTTTTCTGATGAATCCCCTTTCCGATTGTTTGGGGCATCCGGAAAAAAAACTTGTCCGGAGAAGACAAGGTGAGCGCTGCCATCAGTCCTGTGTCATGCCAACAGTAAAGCATCCTGAGACCATTCATGTGTGGGGTTGCTTCTCAGCCAAGGGAGTGGGCTCACTCACAATTTTGCCTAAGAACACAGCCATGAATAAAGAATGGTACCAACACATCCTCCGAGAGCAACTTCTCCCAACCATCCAAGAACAGTTTGGTGACAAACAATGCCTTTTCCAGCATGATGGAGCACCTTGCCATAAGGCAAAAGTGATAACTAAGTGGCTCTGGGAACAAAACATCGTCATTTTGGGTCCATGGCCAGGAAACTCCCCAGACCTTAATCCCATTGAGAACTTGTGGTCAATCCTCAAGAGGCGGGTGGACAAACAAAAACCCACAAAATCTAACAAACTCCAAGCATTGATTATGCAAGAATGGGCTGCCATCAGTCAGGATGTGGCCCAGAAGTTAATTGAAAGCATGCCAGGGCGGAATGCAGAGGTCTTGAAAAAGAAGGGTCAACACTGAAAATATTGACTCTTTGCATAAACTTAATATAATTGTCAATAAAAGCCTTTGACACTTATGGAATGCTTGTAATTATACTTCAGTATACCATAGTAACATCTGACAAAAATATCTAAAAACACTGAAGCAGCAAACTTTGTGAAGACCAATACTTGTGTCATTCTCAAAACTTTTGACCACAACTGTACCTACAGTGCCTTCAGAAAGTATTCACACCCCTTGACGTTTTCCACATTTTTGTTGTGTTACAGCCTGAATTTAAATGGATTAAATTGAGATTTTGTTTGACTGGCCTACACACAATACCCCATAATGTCAAAGTGGAATTATGTTTTTAGATATTTTTTACAAATTAATAAAAAATGAAAAGCTGAAATGTCTTGAGTCAATAAGCCTTTGTCATGGCAAGCCTAAGTAAGTTCAGTAGTAAAAATGTGCTTAACAAGTCACATAATAAGTTGCATAGACTCACTCTGTGTGCAGTAATAGTGTTTAACATAATTTTTTGAATGATTACCTCATCTCTGTACCCCACATATACAATTATCTGTAAGGTCCCTCGGTCAAGCAGTGAATTTCAAACACAGATTCAACCAGAAAGACCAGGGAGGTTTTCCAATGCCTTGCAAAGAAGGGCACATATTGGTAGATGGGTATATAAATTATATATAAAAAAGCATGATGAAGTTATTAATTACACTTTGGATGATGTCTCAATACACCCAGTCACTTCAAAGATAGGCGTCCCTTCCTAAGTCAGTTGCCGGAGAGGAAGGAAACTGCTCAGGGATTTCACCATGAGGCCAATGGTGACTTTAAGACAGTTATAGAGTTTAATGACTGTGATAAGAGAACTGAGGATGGATCAACAGCATTGCAGTTACTCCACAATACTAACCTACTTGACAGAGTGAAAAGAAGGAAGCCTGTACAGAATACAAATATTCCAAAACATGCATCCTGTTTGCAGCAAGGCACTAAAGTAATACTGCCACACAAAAAAAGCAAAACAATTCACTTTTTGTCTTGAATACAAAGCGTTATGTTTGGGGCAAATCCAACACGTCACTGAGTACCACTCTCCATATTTTCAAGCATAGTGGTGGCTGCATCATGTTATGGGTATGCTTGTAATCCTTAAGGACTGGGGAGTTTTTCAGTATAAAAAGGAAACAGAATACAGCTAAGCACAGGCAAAATCCTAGAGGAAAACCTGGTTCAGTCTGCTTTCCATCAGACACAGGGAGATGAATTCACCTTTCAGCAGGACAATAACCTAAAACACAAGGCCAAATCTACACTGGAGTTGCTTACCAAGAAGACAGGGAATGTTCCTGAGTGGCCTAGTTACAGTTTTGACTTAAATCTGCTTGAAAATCTATGGCAAGACTTGAAAATGGTGGTCTAGCAATGATCAACAACAGAGCTTGAAGACACATTTAAAGAATAATGGGCAAATGTTGCACAATCCGGGTGTGGAAATCTCTTAGAGACTCACAGCTGTAATCGCTGCCAAAAGTGATTCTAACATGTATTGTCTCAGGGGTGTGAACACTTATGTAAATGAGATATTTCTGTATTTCATTTTCAATACATTTGCAAAAATGTCTAAAAACATGTTTTCACTTTGTCATTATGGGGTATTGTGTGTAGATGGGTGAGATAAAAAAAATAATTTTTTTTATCCATCTTGAATTCAGGCTGTAACACAACAAAATGTGGAATAAGTCAAGGGGTATGAAGGCACTGTACATGGACAATTGAATATGGATCAAGTGCATTACACATTAGAGAAAGTGAGATGGGTGTGTTACACTCTGCTAAGTGCTAACACACATCTCATAATATCCCCCAACACACATTGAGACTTTATGCTCCAGACTCATGACTCCCACTGGACTCTGATCAAGGAGACACCATCTATTGGGAAACACGCTTTAGAGTGGGTTTATAGATTTAGCTATTTAATTTTTGTCATTTAGCAACTTTCAGTAGTGAGCGCATACATTTTCATACTTTTTTCCCCATACTGGTCCCCCATGGGAATCGAACCCACAACCCAGGCGTTGCAAGCGCATGCTCTACCAACTGAGCCATATTGGCCAATGGGTGAATAGAAGACTGCGCCATCAGTAATAGTGACATTTGGGGCCTCTGTGTAACCTTTGAGTAATCAATACAGTTATATCATCTGTTACAACCAACTTAATGAATGTGTGATTGAAGCCAGGATATTATGGACAGCCTTTGAAATGGTAACAATGTTGACTAATGTCCTATTTATTAGAGATGGTCAGCTTGCCTCATGCTTTGCAGCGGTGTACTCATACTTATAGCCAATATTCTTGTCAGACTTTTCGTGTCACACGTTAACCTGATTTCCAGGGACTTTAATATTTGAGTCCAAAGGGGAGAATAGACTAGAATAGGATTTACAGGCTTGGCAGCAAGCGATGGGTAACTGGGGGCCCCCTTTTGAAGGCCCTGGTGACATCACCAGGCAGTAAATTAGTTAATAGACCAATAAGAAAGAGAGTTCCAAACCTCTCTGCCAATGACAGCTAGTTTTCAGTTTTCCCCTCCTCACTCAGAACACGCCCAGACAGTCCTAGCAAAATTCTTGCTTGAGAAATTGCTCTTAACTAATAAGTTATTTTTGACCGTTTTAATTTAAACAAATCACAGTAAGGTACTTAATTGTTACCCAGAAATTATTGATAATGAGATAAAAACAGCCGTGTTGGACCTTTAAGGGATATCATGAATTAAGGAAATTACAGTTTATTGAAGGAAGTCGAAGGACGCTTAATGGGCCACTTTTCCCTCATTGGGGAGCAGGAGGCAAGATCTTCCTCTGGTGGTGGTGTAGGACACTGTGAACTAAAGGATGTTGTTAGAAAATAGATAAATACTGATCATGCACAGCACTACCTGTATGCTTTATGTCTCACCCTGGATGGTCAGAAGTGCAACAGAGGATCCTTGGTGGTCTCACCCTGGATGGTCTGAAGGGGAGCGAGATCCACGTACCTTTTTGTTGAGACAGATATTTGGAAGCTTCGTGAAGGAAATTAAATAGGTGAAAGGAGAGTTTTTAAATGAATGTTTTGAAAAGAGTTCAAAGAACTGGTTGACAAAAACCTATAATTGGGCCTCTACCTTGTTGGGGAGTAGAACGCAAGATGGTCCTTTAATGGAGTTGCCAAATCAGTGTAGAACACAGCAAATGTCAGAAGGACTGAGTTGAAATGATTGGTTATGGCAGTGAGCCTCTCCTTCCTCGTGGAGTTTGAGGCAAGATGGTACTCTGGTGGTGTTGCCATAACCAAAATGACATTTCCACTGACATTTGCTGCTGTCAGATTTCAAAGGCCTAGTCATGACAGAGAATACCTTGATTAAAAATGATTGGTTCTTTGGCCTCTCCTTCCTTTGTCAGGAGCAGGAGG